AATTTAGAAGACTGACCATACCAAGTTGTCCCAAGGATATAGAGGAATTGGAACTCTCATACACTGCTCAGGGGAATGTAAAATGGTACAACCACTTTGGAAAAGTTGCAATTTTTAAAAAGTTAAATGTATACCTACCAAAACCAAAAAATAATGTATACCTACCAGGTGATCCAGCCATCCCATTCGTAGGTATTTATCCAAGAGAAATAAAAACATATGTCTTATACAAAGGCCTGTGCATAAACAATCACGAAAGTTATATTTGTAAGAGCCAAAAAGTGGAAACCACTTAAGTGTCTACCAACAGAGGAATGGATAAACAAACTGTGGCATCTCCACATAATCGAATACTACTCAGCAAAAAAAAAAAAAAAAAAAAAAAAGAAATGAACTACTGAGTCATGCAACAACATGGAAAAATATCAAAATAACTATGGCTGCATGAAAAAAGACCAAAAAAGAAGTACCCACTGAATGATTCCAATTATATAAGATTCTAGGATATGCAAACAAATCAGATCAGTGGTTCCCTGAGGATAGGAGGAGGGTAGGGGTTGGCGGAAGGAAGTGTTATAAAGGGACACACTGGCCTCCTTGCTGTACTGAAATACACTAAGCACACTCCTACCTTACAACCTTTTTACTTGCTGTTCCCCCTTCCATGGAACATTCTTCCCCATTCACTCCCTTGCTTTGTATAGGTCTCTGCTGAAATATCATGTTCCAGTAAGAGGGGCCTTGACAATGATACAGAAGAGCAGCTGTGGGGGAATGGGAGTGAAGCTAAGCAGGGAGAAGGGAAAGACTGCTGACAGCACAGCAGAAGAGGAAGTCCCTGCACGTGGTAACAGTCGGCAGGGCTGCACAGTTGTTGTGGCAGTGTTCTGACGCCACGATGACAAAGGAGGTGGGGGTTCTACCGCTGGTCCATGCAGGGCTGGAGTGGTGGTGAGCATGTGCAAGGAAACAGAAAGTGATGGTAATGAGTGACTCAGATGATCTCCCACGTGGTCCAGGCTGGGAAAGGAAGAAGAGAGGCCAGGAAAATGCTGGCAGGAGAAAATGCAGACATGAAGGCACTGGATGACTCGATAATGTGGTGGGAAGAATGTATGAGGGAGGTACAGGAGGCCAGAGATTGATATTAGCACGTAAGATATCAGAAGTGAGGCAATCTCAGGGGCCAACATCTAGGAATGTGTCTTGTGAATAACTGAAAAGAAGTTTCTAGAATGGCAAAGGTCCAGAAATTGTGAGTGAAGAGTGCTATTTGGTGATGTACATAGCCCTGAAACCTCTGGGATCATGACTGGAGCTTGAATGGAGGCAAGAATGTTAAGCAAGTGCCAAGCTCTTGAGAACACATGGACTTGAGGATACGCACTCCATGCCAGTCATCTTTCATGAATCATTTCATTTTATCTTCATAACAATCAGGGATACAGATAAGAAGAGACAGATGGAATGGTTAGACTTGAAGAGTTCAAGGTCACCGTCAAAGTTTTGAGGAGTTCCTTTGGCTACAAGGATGCTGAATAGGGAATACAGAGTTATCAGTGAAGCGTCTGGCTTTGAATACATTGAGTTCAGGGTGTTGGTGGAATATATACGTGGAGATGTCCACAAGCATTTAGAGATGTAAGGTTCAGGCTCAGCAAAGAGACTGGAGTTGAAGATATGGATTTCTATGTTAAAAGCACTGAGGTGATAACCGGGACCGGGGTGTAGCCTGAGAACAGAATGGAAGAGAGGGGAATTTTGGCATGTGCTCACACTGGCACAGTGGGGACCAAAAGGAGTGAGCAATTAAAGAAATGTAAGCTGCATATTGGGGTAGATTGTAAAAATGGCCACAAATTCTTTATAGCTCTTCCCTTCAAGAGGTGAAACTTATTCCTCTCCCTTGAATGTGGGTTGACATTTTTACTTTCTTTGACCAGTACAATGTGGCAGAGTGATGTGCCTGTCCCAAACTTAGGCCTCAAGAGCCCTTGTAGCTTCTGCTTCTGCTTTCTCACTGGGAATCTACCAGCATGTGAACAAACCTGGGCTAGCCTGCTGGAAGATGAGAGAGCATCATTCTCTCTCTCTCTCTCTCTCTCTCTCTCTCTCTCTCAATCTCTAACCACCACCCCCCTCCCGAGAGGCTCCAGATGTGCTAGCCTCCCCAGCTGAGGCACCACACATGCTAGCAAGTACAGCCAACAGCCAAGAGAAGCCACGCCCGGGCCAGATCACAAAAACTGCCCAGCTGAGCCCAGCCCAAACTGCTAGCCACAGAATCTTGAGCTAATTAGAACAACTAGTATTTTAAGCCGTTAAATTTAAGAGTAATTTGCTACAAGGCAATAGATAACTGATATACATATGGCCTGAGAAGCAAAGGCGGAAAGAGATGAAAAGAACAGGTAATATAATGCAGAGAGGTCAACTTCTGCGGGGATGTGGAGGAGAGTGGTTTCCCGGGTTCAAAGACGTGGTGGGGGCAGAAGCCAGAGAACAGGGTCAGAAAGTGTTAACTGTTAATGGTTGCTTCTAGGGGGTGGGGATGGGGGCAGCAGGATCACAGAATTTCACTTTTATTTTTTAATTTTTTTTTAAAGATTTTATTTATTTGACAGAGAAGAGACACAGAGAGAACGGGAACACAAGCAGGGGGAATGGAAGAGGGAGAAGCGGGCTTCCCGCAGAGTAGGGAGCCCGATGCGGGGGCTCGATCCCAGGACTCTGGGATCATGACCTGAGCCGAAGGCAGATGCTTAATGACTGAGCCACCCAGGCGCCTCAGAATTTCACTTTTAATACCTGGGTACTACATACATGTGTTGCTTATATAGTATTCTTAACAGTTTATTGAGGACTATGCAATTTTTAAATAATTCAATTCTTAAAAATTTTTAAAAACTCAGTACTAACACGAGAATGGAGGTGGGTGATACAGACCAATGCTTCCAGAGGAAAAGCTGAACCAGCCCTATCCAGATCATCTGGGAAGGATTACGCAAACCTTGACTCCAGAGTTCCACGTCTGGAGACTGGGATTCAGTTAGTTTGGACACAGGCCAGGGAAGCGACTTTCTTCCCATGGCTCCCCAGTTTTGAGACTGTCAGGGTGAGAAGAAAAGCATGCTGAGGACAGAACCCCAGGAAAACTCTTTATTCAGGAGTCTAAAAAAGAGAACGATTTTCAAACTAAGCCTCTATGTTCTCGGAGACATTTACAATATTTATGAACAAAACAGCAATGGGTATCATTTATTACTATGTTAACTCATCTAATCCTTCTAATCCTTCCCACTTCACAGAAAAAACTGAAGCCTAGAGAGGGAAAGTGACTTGTTCCAGGTGAGTTGGGTGGAGTCAGGGTTTGAACCCAGGCTGTCTGATTCGAGTCTTGCTGTTTTTGTAGGGAAAATATTTAGTTATTATATAGAACTTCTCAATTTAAAATTTCCCTTCTATATAGGTATTAGGCCTTTGGCATATGCTACCACTGATTTCTATTAGAATCTAGACTGTGAGCTCCTCTGGGGGAGGGAATTGTGTCTTTTTATCTCCTTATCTCCAGGGCCTCACACATAGTTTGCAGTCAATACATATTTGTTGAATAAGCAAATGAATGTGTGGTTTGGGATTTGAACACAAGCTTGGAGGGTTTATTATTTTAAGTTTAATACTCTGATCATTTTCGACTTCCTCTCCGTAGGAAACACTACTTTTCAAAAGGGCACCTTCACTGGAATTGGGTGGTGAGCAGCAAGCAGATGGCTAGGATTGTGCAGTGCAGGGTTCAGGAGGAAAATGAATCAACCAACTCAGACCACATTTCCCCCCTAAAGAAGGCCTTGAAAGCAAACAAAGGGGTGTACCAGTTGCACTCGTCTTGAGGAGGGAGGCTGACAAGCTTTAATAGGTTTACAGGCTGAGACATTGACAGTAGAAGGAAAGGCGAGAAAGGAAAAAGATGGGATCAATTGGGGGAGAGTCAATAGGGTCCTAGGGGGATGCAGCTGGGGCAGAAGGGACACCTGTTCCTCCGGAATCTCGAAAGACTGGCTGTCAGAGATGCAGGAAGGTGTTTAGAAGAGTTAAGGGAAGGAGCGCGCCAGAAGCAGGATTGAGGAAGGGGAGAGCAGTCCAGTTCATGAAGTTTCTCTTCCAGCTCTCACTATTTAGGGCCATGGGTCAGACAATTTAACTCCAGAGATCCTCATGGGGTTATGAACTTTGAGAACAACAACAACAAAAACCTATCTACTATCATCATGGTTTCATTTTAAAAAGCGAAGTGACATTTAACACACCAAAAATAGGCAGAAAGGACAAAAATCTCAGAATAAATCTCCGCTTGATGACCAACTCATTCGGCTGTCCTCATTTTTTTCACTTCACCTGGAAGGATGATTCCTCCCGGCAGGACGAGTGCGTGGGGAGCGCGGCGCCCAGCCGCCCACGCCGGCAGCCTCTCTCGGTCCCCGCGGGGCGGGCGGGGAGCCTGGCAACCCGGCGCGCGCCCCGACAGCCGGCCCGGGGCTGCCCTCCCGCCCCGCGGAGCAGGCGGCGGGCGACCCGCAGGTCTGGGCAGCGAGCGGGGGCGCTCCCCCCCCGCCACAGCGGGGGACCCCGCCTCGCCCCATTGCGCGGCCCGCCCAGCAGCCCCTCCACGCTCCCTCTTGCGGTTGCGGCGCTGGGGGGGCCACCGCAGGGCAGCCGGACTGGGGTGGGGGTGGGGTGCGAGGTGGGTGGCCGCTCGCGGGTCCCGGTACCCCGGTGTCCTCTGCCGGCTCTGCCCCGCAGGTGTGAGGACACCCTCCGCTCGGCTCCGGATGTCCGCGGCTCCCGGTTCCGACGACCCGGACGCTCGAGGGTCCGGGTGCAGCCCCGGGGTCTGCTCCCCGCTAGCGCTGCTTCCCCCGCCGCTGTGGGCGCGGGGGAGGGCGCCCACGCAGGGCCACACGGAAGCCCGGGGGAGCCCATGCTGTAGGCGGCCGCCCTACCTGTCGTAGCTCCAGCGGCTGTAGGACAGGGTCCGGTGGCTGCTGACTCCCTCCATCGCCGCCTCCCAGCTCGGCTTCCGGCTCCGCGGCGGCGGCAGCGGCTGCGCGGGGCTCGGCGCTCGCTCTCTGCAGGCCCGGCCGGGGCGCGGGCGGAGGACCGTACCATTCGCCCCCCCGGGGGGGGGTAACCCCCCCTCCGGCTCTGCCAATGGCGGGGACGCGCGGGCTGCGGGGACCCGGACCCGCGGGGCCCCCTCCCCCGCGCTCCAGTCCCGCGGGGGCGCGGCTGCTGCAGCCGGGACGTTTTATTTATTTCCGATGTGCGCTCCGCGTCGCCATGGCAACCGCTCCATCTTTTCCGGCGTCACTAGGGCACCGCAGCTTTCAAACCTTCCCGGGACAGGGATTGCTACGAGGCTGTCCCTTCTGCTCGCCGTACTCGGGCTCCTCTGCAGAGACGCCTCTCCCTTCCTGGCGTGGAGTCACAGCCATTCAATCCCTCCAATCTTCCACTCCAATTACTCCCCTTCTCAGGAATGGGAATACTCACCCCTGAATTTTGAGGACCTCGGCCACCTCCCAGCCCCTTTTCCCCTAGCACGTAAATCCTTTACCCGAGTTCCCTCTCCTAAAAGTGTGGAGACGCAGGCCCCTCACTGCCCAAATGAAAACCCACTTCTCCTTCCCTATTCCCCGGTTCCCTTGGCCCTGCTATTTAGCATAAAGTGGCCCCCTTGGGTTCAGAGGACTAAGCTCTGAGAACACACCCATTTCTAGGCCAGCTCTGTTTATTTTCCTTGTGCTTTCCCTTCATTACTACTAAAATTACTTTGGAAAAAATCCAGCTGTGTTGACTCAACTAGCAGAGAGTGTCTTCTTCATCTATACTTGGCAGTGGATGACCCAGGGAAGGCCCTGGGGAGAGGGGCCGGCCCCTCCTTCCCCTCCCTTCCCCCACCCTGGGCTGCTGGCTGTGGGGGATTTACAGGTATAATCTTCTTGCCGAGGTCGTGGAAGCCTAAGAAGGATCTTTGGGTGCAGCTGTGGTGGGGAGACTGAGACCAGGGGCAGAGTGGAGGTGTCAGCGTTCCCTGAAGGGAGAGCACTGGGCAGTAGCCATTGAGCTCCACTAATCCAAGGATCAGGGGCAACTCGGTGAAACCAGACTCACTGTGAACCCTGTGGATTACAGGCTTCCAAGTGGCAGCACACCTGTTGCATCCAGCCCACAAACGTGGTTTTGTTTTTCACTGACTAAATTGACAACACTTAATGGAGAAATTAAATAGATTGGACTTTTTGTCCCCTCTTGAAAACTAAGCAAATCTGGCAACCCTTGGACCTGCCTGCAGCATGGCAGGAATAGGGCCGAGAAGTGGCTGCCCTCCTTACAAGGAGCATGTGTTCTCCTATGGGCCTCAGGCCCCAGCCGGCCAGCTTCTTTCACTTTTATAACTGGTCCCTGCAGCTTTGGAGTTCTCCACCCCAGGCAACAGTCATCTCTCTAACCCATGGTTTCCCATGGCCCTCAGAGTTGAGCAAATGCATCATTAACCAGTATTTACCAAGGACCTGGTCCTCAGCAAAAGGCTGTAAATAGCAAGCAGAAACTGTCACTCCCTTGTGGGGTTTATAGACTGACATAAATAGACCGACTCCCAAAGAGAACCACTGTTTCTGAACCACATCTTGGCATATCCATGATCTCAGGAGTGGTGGATTGGGACTCCAGAATCAACTTGTTACAAGTGTGTGAGGCCTTCTTACATTGTTTGAGTAACGGTGATTGGAGAATGCCCCTATCTGGAGAATGTGTGGGGTTTGTGGGACCTCCCACAGACACTGCAGAACCAAAACCCATAGCTGCTGACTCATATGTTATTAGATAAGTGTCCAAGGATGTTCTTTCTCCAAAGGACTGATGGAAGGGCAATAGAATCTAAGAAGGAAACACCCTCAACATAAAAGGTCCTGCATCAGCCCACTCTAAGCCATGCTAGCTCAGAGCCAGGAGTCACAGAGACCCCCTGAGGCTGACACTGGGTACTGGCTGCCCGGCCCCTGCAGCCTGCCTTGGTGAGGCCACTGGAGGCAGGAGTAATAAACACATACTCTACATCATCGGGGAATCAGGTAGTTAGCACAAGGCAAGAGTTCTATAGCTATAAGAGCCAACAGCAGGTGTGCTGGACTCTCAGACCCTCACCTCCAAATCCTGACACCCCTAGATGTACAAATAAGAAGCCCAAAGTCAGGTGTTCTGAGCCAGGGCTGAGAGCTGTGGAAAAGCTACATCCTAGACATTCTGGGATGATCCCTGGAGAAGCCCTGAGCTAGGCAGATGGAAGAGCCTATCAAAGCCCCAGAGGAAAGGACCCTTGACCCTTATCAATGGCAGGAGCCATGTGTCAGCATTCTGTGGGAGGGAGATTGTGGCAGATTTAAAGCATGGTCGCTGAATCTTTGACATTCCTCTCACTGAGAAGTAAGGTCTGTGATACCTCACCGTGAATCTCTACGCTATGTGGTTTCTGAGGTTAAGTAATAAATGGCCTCTCAGTTTACTGGAAGGGACCCCATATAAGAAGTCCAACTACCCTCTGGCCACTGTACTGTGAGGAAGTCTAATCCGCAAGGAAAGGTCCTGCATAGATGCTTCAGTTGCAGTCCCAGCTGAGCCCAGCCTTCACATCACCCAAGCACCACACATAGAAGAAAGAAGCCTTCGGCAGAAAACAACACCTCATCCTACAAGTCATTTCCAGATGCTTGAGTCTTCCCAGCGGAGGCCCCAAATATTATGGAAGAGAGACAAGTCAGCTGTGAGTGCCCTGACCTGACCCAGAAAACCTGTGAAGACATAAAAACGGTTGTTGCTTTACACCACAGATAACCAGACAGGCAGAATTCATCTCAGTGGAGCCGGTTCTTTTCCCTTGAACACTGAATAATGGGTCTTTTGGATGTGAGAGGAAGGGTCCCATTTAGTTTACACAGAAGAGCTGTAATAAGGAAACTCGAATGCTCTGCAGAGTAAAGCAACAGGAAGGTAGGAGTTGTCCTCTGGTGGCTAACGGATGGCTGGAAAACAGGCTGGGGCTGGAGAGAAAGAGGAAGGTTGGGTAAGAAGAGAAGGTGTAATGGCAGAGGGCTAGAGTCTGAGAAGGAAAAGAGCTGGTAAGAAACTCCTAGTCAGGGCTGAGCAAGGAACCTGAGGAACAAAGATATCTAATATGCTATTTTAAGTTGGCTTCTGCTCCCCGGTGGTGCTGTTGTCAGCCCCAAACCTCCAGTAGACGTCTGATGTGTATATACCACCCCCTCGTCGGAATGATGCTTGGGGAATGTGGCAGGCAGGGCATGGTCCACACGTGGGACAAAGGGAGCAGGAAGGGGACAGCAAGCCGAGCAGCTAGCTGGAGACAGAATTAAGTTAGGAGCAGGAATGCAAAGGAGACCAAGAGAACATGCCCTTCTTGGAAATCCTTGGGCCTATTGGGGGGCCTTCTAGACTACCCCAAATAAAAGGAGATGGGCTGTAGATAGTGGTCCTGGAACTAGGGTCCAGGCTACCTGGAACCCCCATAGCAAGGTGGGATCCCTCAGCCATGTGAGGCCAAACTGTCTAGCACGTTTCTAGGAGAGCACATAAGCAATGGAGAAACCCAAAACTGGGACTTAAGACCAAGAGTCACTATGGCAAAATGAGGAACAGGGACCTGGGAGTCTATGTCCCTGGAGAATAAATTCTGGAAGGAAAAATCCTCTGGAGTAACAGAGGTGGAAGGTTCTAAAGGGAAACGACCCCTCATACTACAACAAGTTCCACACCCTCCAAAGTAAGACTCTGGAAGAAAGCACTGCTGGCCAGAACCATGTGCACACTACACTGTGCCCCTAAGGCCCACCTTATCCCAGCAGTTTCTAGTCCCATTGCTACCACCCACGTTTTGCCCTAAAAGGCAATGTTTCCCTTTAACACTCTGGTCCTGGTGAACACAATCCCTATGTTCTCTTAGTGTAGCTAGAACTGGCTAAATCTTTAAAGACTTCATTAATTTTAGAGGAAAGACAACAGGAAAATAAACCAACCCATCGCAGGAAATACACAAATGCAGGGTCCAGGACCATGCACCATTCACCTGGCCATTTGCAGATGTCTATAGTCTGATTCCAAAAGGCAGACTCTCCTATTGGATTTCTTCCCTAGACATCCTGACACCTGCATGCCCACCGTCAAGAGGGGAAGATACCCATTTCTGTTCTGAGAGATGGGCTTCATCTCCAGGTGAATGGCACTTTGAATGACATCACTGATGTGATGGGCCATCCCCACTCCCCGACTCGGAGTGTGGCTTCACCTTCATAGGCCCAACTGAACAACCACAATATAGTCTAATCCATTAACCTCCACCTCCCTTCTTCTCCATCCCAAACACATAACGAAAGGACAAGAACACCTTCTCAACCCTACTTTGAGTCCTCAGGGCTTTCTATATGTGAACAATCAGGGTGGAGATAGAGATCTAAGAAGTCCACACAAATTGATAGATAATTTTTCTTAACATCCCTGACTCTGCTGTCTAAGGCAGGAACAGGCCTTTATTTATCCTCAGGGATGTGGTCCCATAGTTGCTAACTATGGCTCTCACTGGGTTGGGAGATGCTTGCTTTGGACTATTTGGAAACCTGAGGAGGGGCCAGGCAGGGCTCAGCTGGTTGTAAATCAGGGTCAATGTTCAACCATTAAGCTCCAAAACAAACCAACCACCATCACTATCACCACCACCAAAAGGCTCTTAAAATTCATGGTAGAGATTTTAAAAGCAATTGCAGGAGTCCAACTATATATACAGTGAAGTTTTGTTAAGTATCAGGAGGTGCCAACTGTCCTCTTGTTTCTATGATGTGACAGTCCATTAGCACCAGAGGTCCCTATTAGACAAGAACACTGCGTGGAGTCTATGGAAAATTCCAGTAGATCTTTTAGGCTTGAGAGCTAAGCCATGCCTTCTACAGCACAGAGTGACTTATATCTGAAAAAGCAGCTCATGGTGTGCGGGGCCCAAGCAGAGCCTGTGAATACCCGATAATGGGGTATCAGACACTATATGACTAGAAATGCCCATTGTAATCTGGGCCACCAGTCATAAACTGGATTATGTTGACTAGTTCACCAGTCTTAAGTGGGCAGTTCATTGTATGACGACAGTAGTACATTTGGGATTGGGTCCCGGCAGGTCCAGAGAGCAGCAAGTGAACCATG